AGTTGTGAGTCTCATCCCATCAGGTATCAGTAATGCCTATTGGGTCATATTTGCCATGATGTATTAAGAACTCAAATTTGTCTTGCTTGTTTCCCATACTGTGTGTGCATTAGTATAGAAACAACTGAAACCCTGAGCCATTCTTTCCAATTGCTTTCATCTTGCAGTTTCTGTATCACCACGTCTGTTTCCTGTGTATCAATGAAGCTATTATTCCCAGGTTTCAGAATTTAGTTTAAAACTCTCCTGACCAGGTGTGCGAGACTCTTAGCAAACACATTCTTGCCAATCGCTGTGAGGTGCAACCCATCGCTTCCCAGAAGTCCTTCCTCAAGTGTTATGTACTGAGTTGAATAGGATCCAAACTGCAGCAGTCTGATTGGTCCTAGAACAATAGGATCCAAATTGCAGCAGTCGGATTGGTCCTAGAACAATAGGATTCAGAATGCAGCAGTCTGATTGGTCCTAGAACAATGCAGCAGTATGCTTGGTTGGCAGGAACCACCCAATCATGCTCCAGATATAAGTGAATCCACAACCTGATTGGCTTACAGTAGAATTCCAGAATTAGCCAATCATGTGCAGCCCATTGTGTAAATAATGTATATAAAGCAGATACTTTGAGGGGACTTTCATTCATTCCTCCTCACCACTATGAGCTGTATAAAGAGCATGAAATCACTTTGTGACTCTGAGTATATTTCATCAAGGCAGCAGAGACCATGGTCCAATAAGTCAAACCTTTCCTGACAACACCACCTGTACTGGTGGTTTACCACCAGTATCTTCCTCTCTCTTCCTGAGCCACAACCTTCAATAGGAAGCAGTGATGAAAAAAAACCACCTGTGCCCCAAGGCCCTTCTGCTTCCTACCCAGAGTCTCATAGCCCCTTGCTATATGTTGAAGGCTGTGTCTGGCAGAATTGTTTGCAGCCACATGAATCAAAAGGAAGGGGCTGTGGTCAGTAGGCTCGATAAGACCCGGCAACTTTTCTGTCAAATCATGAATCTTTGCACCTGGAAGACAGCACACCACCCAGGACATCCTGTTACCTCTACGCACTGCTGTTACCTACCACCACCACATGTCTCTTCCTCCTCTAGGGGGTGGCAGGAATCCTTATGTGCACTGTACCTTCTACAGCCGCCTCAGTTTGTTCTGAGGTCTGCAACTGCTGGACTTCCTCTTCTCGCCCAGAATCATTATGTGAGGTGAGGGCATGGAATCAATTTTGCAGCTCCAGTGACACAGCAGGATTCCTGAAAGTCCTGCTTCTTTGTATCACATTTCTCCAAGGGTTCATCTCCTACACTGGATGATCTTCCTCCTCCCTAGAGGCACCCCACTGCCTGATGTTGCTGTTCCAGAAGAGCCCACTCTGCTATAGTGATAAATTCTTCATCTTGCCCGATAGCTCAATGTGGTGCTATATTCATAGAATGCCCTCCCTAGAGAGACCTAATGCCCTGGTCCTTTAAGAACTGTTAGAACCTTGCTCTTTCAGGGTCCTTTTGGCGTCTTCTGGTAGCCTATTATTCTTTTCTGAGGTAGCTGTGGTTTTCTTTGTACTCTTGCTTGTGTAATGAATATTTCTAATGTTCATTTTGAGTGTTTTTATTGCCTTATATTTTTATTGTTTGATATTTTTCCCTGTGAGATGCCTTGTGCCATTTTTGAATAAAACATGATATATGTTTCTGGAATAAGAATGAATGAGAGTATGCATTTTAACCCACTAAATATTGTTGCCTCTTACTGCAAGCATGTGATGGTTTCTCTTGTGTTTTTGATAATATTCTATCAAACTTTATTTTCATTTAAAAAATAATATTCCTCATAACCACTATTTCTCAGCTGATCTATTAAGGGAATACTCATAAGCCAATTCTGAAATAGCAAGGGTCAGTATACATTAATGGGGATCAATCCAGTGAAATTATTATTAGTTTTTACCCTGCCACCTAACAAGAAGTGCATTGAGCTTAGATGCTATTTTATAAGTTAATAACACAAGAAATAACAAGGTTGTGTTATTGCTTCTCTAAGGGAGCACATTAAATGTGACCAAACTACTAATTCTGCTATAACCTTCCAAAGTGCCTTAAGGGCCATTTATTAAAAATAAAAAGCTGCTTCTGCTGCTGCTGTATAAATCCCTAAATATCTGATGTCTTGAGGGCAGCAGTTTGAAGGGGAAATATTTAGAAGTGTCAGAAGCAAAAATTTGCTTAGTCTGTAGCTTTGTGGGTTTCTGCTGGAACAATACTGCTGCATGTAGTCATAAAAAATGATTACATTGGCTGCAATCCTGCACACAGTTAGTCTCCTTAAATCCTATTGACTTCAACAATGTTTAAACAGCCTTACCAGTGCTGAACGCCAGCCATTGCCATTCAACTCAAGTGGTTCATTCCATGGTTTGGAGATACAGAATGTGTTGTGGGTTCACATCCTTCCTCCTCCTGCTCCCCGTTTCACACACATATTACCTCTTCCTCCCATTCTTCATGATAGCTATCACTTGCTGTTAAGTCTTTTTAATAACACAAATTATAGTTAGTATTAACCAGGAATTGCTTTGCGATCATGAATTTAAGCTTTACAAACCATAGTTTTGAGACAAACCTGGTTAGTACTAATTTTTGTTCATCTGGTTCCAACATTCAAAACTAGAGGATTATGTCAAAGGCCTGCTTCCATCACAGGCTGAGAAAGGCCTAGCTACTCAGCAACACTCTCTTGCCTGAGGAGATTGTAGTGGGAGCCGTATACTGGTCTGAAACCAAGGAAGGGCAGGGACAGGAAATGCTGCCTATATAATTCTGCTTTCAGATGGAAACTAAGCATGTGCGAAGGCATCCTTTGCCATTATATGTTGTTCATATCACAAGCAACGTTGTTTCCATTCTGCTACAGATTTGTGTTCTACCAAAAGCACGGTTATTTGTCCCGCTGTCCACTGTGCTGAAATTAAGTAGTTTATATTGCCATAATGTTATTTCACCTCATTCATTTAAATGCAAAGGAAATAGAATGCAAATAGGAGGAAAAGCACAATCAATTATGTATCATTTCCATTTTGAAAGCAATAACAAAGAATACCAATCATATTCTCTGGATTGATTTCTGTATTGGGCAAAGGATGAGTAAGTGAATTTCAGAAATTTCCTTTCCTGTTTCTGTTTCTGCCAGAATTCTCTCACATCCCTAATGAACACCATGCAATTTCTGTTCTTGTACTACATTTGAGTGTGGTTTTATTTGAGAATCTTTTATAAGTTGTTTTGAGTGCCTTTATTGGTTATAAAGCAGAATGCAAGTAGCCTAAATAAATAAATAAATAAATAAATGGAGATCATTTCTGGCAAACAGTGCATGGCCCTAATGGTATGGCTCTAATCCAGATCAGAGCTTCCCATTCTTGCTTTTTGTAAACATAGAAATATATTCAACCTCACCCAGAGACAATGTTCAGACTTGCTGAGAAGACTGAATGGCAATGTTGTCAACTGAAAAAAGATGAAAATGAGGTTTAGGAGAGAATTCAATAAATTCTGTCTTCTGCATATTAAGTTTGAGATGATCTGACATTCAGACATGAATAGCTATCAAAAAAGGCACTTTTAAATATTAATGAGAACAGAGGGAATAAAGGAGGAAATAGGAAAATGACATCCAACTTTAGTTTTCCTAACAGTGATATTATAAGCCAAAAGAAGAAATCAGATTGCCAAGAAGAAGAATGAAGCAGAAGAAGATTTGAATCTCAGTCCTGCAACGTCAATGTGGTGGCACCTCAAGTTATTTTATAATTTAGTGTTTTGGTCAGTGATATCATCATACTGGATCTAATGTGATAACATCATGGCTATGCATCATCAATATCACCATGGCAAACTGGATTAAACAAGTGTAGTCAAATAAAGCTGAAGTCTACAAGGAGAAAGGGTAGTGATCAGCACAGTAACAAGAGAGTTTAGAACAGCATACAATCAATGCAGAGGTTCAGTGGGATGAGTATTTTATTTTTTATTACAGTATGGTTTTTGATGGTATGAAGTATTTATTATTTATTTCAGCTATTTATAGGGGGCTCTCATGAATTTCATGACTCTGTTTGCAGGTTCAGCAATGCAAAATATAGTCCAAAATTGCAAATATTGTGAAAATCATTTCTGCAGTAACTCTGAACAAAATAAATTCTAAAATGTATTTTTTAAAATACATCTCAAATAGTTAGGGAGAATATTTCAATTGAAGGGACTTTCAAATGCAATTGTACATGATGGGCATACAGGGTTAAAGGAATCTCTTTGTTCAATGTTTTCTGTGCTGCCAAAATGAAACGGGAATGCAAATCATTGCAATTTGAAACAGAATATTATTTTTCTATTTCTTTCATATAACCTTATTTCCAGCAATACGGTCACAGGTTTGAAATGTTAAGTGAAGTTTATAGTTCTCACAAGGTAAGATAAGAGAGGGGAAGCATAGAGGTCTACTTTATATAGAAGCCAGATGGGATGAGTTGTGTGAAAAGGCAGCTGAGAAATACATTTCAATGTTACCAGAAATAATATGATACAGATTATGATATAGGCCAATTGTACTTTGTGTTTCTTTATAGAGCAGATTGTTGTCCTACATTGAATCTTTGAGTGAACAAAAGTGAAGGATGCTGACACAATCAATAATCTTTTCCCTTAAAGGGAATAAAAAGTTTTCTTAAAAAGCTGAGAAATGCTGTGAATAACATTGTCCTACTTTTTACCAATCCTCTCATCACATTGTAATGTGGCCATAGAAAGTGATTCCAGATAATTTGTAACAATGCAAAGAAAATGTTAAGGGTTCAGCTTACCAGCAGGAAGCTTGGAGATTATGCACTCTGAAGCTAATTTGATTGAAGTCAATGATCTCTGATAAAATTAAGAAAACCAAATTCCCTGACTTTTTGGGGTGGTAGAGGAGGGGGAGACTGGCTTTTTCTCTTCTTGAATGAACTTTTTAAAAAACAAAAAGATTGCTTTTAATTTCCATTTAATGAAAATAATTCTCTACTATTATCTAATAAATCATCCCTTCATAGATGAAGAATGGTGTGTGTGTGTGTGTGTGTGTGTGTGTGTGTGTTTCAACCAATAGTTTCCAAATGGACTTCCTTACTGAATAAAATGGGCTGTTATAACAAATGAGTGTTTAAAAGCATGCTACATTTGACAAATGCATATTGTATATTTTGTTTTTTAAGCTGCTTTGCAAACGAGATGGTGAAAAGTAGGGTATAATTTTTTAAAAATAACAAATAAGGCTCAAAGGCAGGCTCCAGGTTTTTATACCTCCTTTTCCCCTTTCTTTCTTTCTCTCTCTCTCTCTCTCTCTCTCTCTCTCTCTCTCTCTCTTTCTTCATTTCTTCTATCCACCCTCTCTAGAATTGTGGGGTAGGAGAGCTGAAGAAGAAAAAATTCAAATATGACAACCAATGTGCCCCTTTGGTTTCACATAGTACATAGACAGTCTAAAAAGCTCAGAACACAAATTTTCACAGCCCTCTAGAAGCTATGGCGGCTCATTTCCCAGAAGTAATGTATTTAGTGTTAACTCTGGAAGTGTATACTCAATTCTGACCTGAAGTCTCTGCCACTCCACAATATTGGGGCAAGATGGTCTGAACATATAATACCAATTTGAGCACAACTGCACTAGCTATCAATTAGTTTCTGGACTCAATTTAAAGTGCTGGGTTTTACCTACAAAGTCTTATGCAGCTCAAACCCCAGTACCTCAAGGACCACCTCTCCCTACATGAACTTACTTGGACTCTGTGGTCATCATCTGAAGCTCTTCTTTCTGTGCCCCCTGCATGAGAAGTTTGAAGGGTAGCAGCATGAAACAGGCCTTTTCAGTGGTGGTCCCCTGCCAGTGGATGGTCTACCTAGGGTGACACACCTTTATGTTTTCAGGCACCAGGCAAATACTTTCCTCTTTATCTGGGCTTTCAGCCCTTAATTTGAAGGGTGGCATTTTAGCCTCTTTTTGTGGGACTGCATCTGCCTTTTATCTGTATAGCTGTGTTTTTAGGTTTGTGTAGGTGGTTCTTAACTGGAATTAATGTTAAGTAGCTTTAGATTACTCTGTGAGAAAAGTGAAAGAAAAATAAAAAGAAGAAATTGGAGCACTGCCCTACATAAGCTTGTTATGACTACACAAAATACTACATTGTGTATCCTGCATGAATAGTCACTGCTATAACTGTTTAGAGGATTATTCTGAGATTATTTGTTAGGATATTGGAATCAAATGTTACACTTTTTTTTTAACATGAGCCAATAGAGAGCAGTGCCCAATTAATGATAAAAACTAATCTTTAGTAACTGACAAGCAGGCAGCTTTCACTTTTCTTTGTAACTCACATCATAATAACTGAAATGTTTTCTCAGTGCTTTCCAAAACAGTATATGATACAATTTTTCAGTCAATTTCATTGACCGTATAATTGATTGTTCCTTCCCACCTTGTTCCAAAGAAATGTAATGATCTACAGGAAACGAAAAATCAAAGTTTCTTTGTCTTTAAACACTCTATATGTCAACATTACAAAGTGCAAGACCAGTAGGAAATGGTGTGTTTTTGCATTTATTGACCAGTATGCCTTAGCATACCATAAAATAGAGCATCAGGATGGTTCTTAGAGTGATGTGATAAAGAAGAAACCTCTGATCTTCTTTGACTACATAATTATCTTTGCTTAGATTAAAAAGCAGCATGTTTACACCTTCAAGTGCTGTAGACAACTGTTGAACAAAATGGCGCTCATCTGTTATTTAGAAATAGGATTAGCTTTGTTGTGATCTTTAAATTTTTTACTTACCCGTATTTTTCTCCTTTTTTGATGTTTAGAGGGTATTTTGCTTCATCTTTAATTTTGTTGCTTTAAATGTGCATATTTATTGCATTTTTCCCTGATTTTCAGCTGCAATGTTTTGCTCTGATATTTTGTAATGTTGTATTTGATCTTTTAAGGTACAGTATGCCATAAACTGCTTAGAGATTTAACATCCCTCCCTCAAAATATAAAGTTGTATACAAATGAATTAGATACAGTTGTACCTCTACTAACAAATGCAATCTGTTTCGGGGTGCTGTTTGCACCCCAAAAAATATGTAAGTAGAGCATCGCTACTGCGCATGCGCAAAGTGCAATAGAGCACTTCTGCACATGTGTGAAGTGCGCTAATTGATTCTGCGCATGCACATGCAGTGCACATGCAGTGTATACTTCCGGGTTTGCCGCGTTCGCAACCCGAAAATCTGCAATATGAAGCGAATGCAACAGAGGTATAACTGTATAACTAAATTAAAGTAAGCAAATAAGGTAGTCTCTATGTGAGTATATTGTATTCAATTATGGGGTATTAGAGTTTTTAGGGGCTAACGAGGCTGGGATAGTTGGGATAGCAGGCTTGTTGGTTTTTGAATGTCTGGTGTAGATTTTTTTCAATTTCGTTGTTCTGTATGGGACAATGACAATAAAGATTATCGTATTGTATCGTAATCACAATAGTCATCACAGCAAGTCAAAAGAAATATGAATTTCTTGAAACCAGTCCAGATGGCAAAATTCACAATTGTTTTAAAAATGCCTTCTGTAGCATTGCTGAATGTCCTCTCCTTTTGATGGGTGGGTTAGTTGCTACTACTCACTCACATTTCCAGCTAGGACCAAACTGGCAGACTGGGGACCTTCCAGGTTTGGGAAAGCTTGGTTCAATCCAATACAGAAATAGTTCTTTTACAACTTCACACAGGTCTTCTGATCTGCTGGTCTTATTACCACATAAGAAATTTGTGATAGGCAAACTTCCTGCCACTTGATCTGGAACCGACTTGGTGAATGTGAACTTTATCATCAAGCATTCAAGATGGGAAAACAACTCATTTGTTTTCTGAGAATCTTTGTGCAGAAGACTTTTTAGTCTCACCTGCTCACATCTGCTTGCAGGGAAGTGATGTGGGCAGCCTGGTCTGTGAACAAAGAAGCAAACTGCCACCTTTCTCCTTGTGAAGAGATCTGCCACAGATCGGGGAGGGAGGGAAGAATCGGTCCAGTGCTATATGAATTGTTTTTCCCTCAGCCATCTTCCAACATGGGCCAGAAAGGAACTGGATTTCACATCTGTCTTGGCCATTTTTCAGAAGCAGTAGCCTTTTGGTTTGGTTGTGCAACATTGCCTTGACTTAAGGAGCAATCTTAATGATTGGGTATTCTCTCTCTCTCTCTCTCTCTCTCTCTCTCTCTCTCTTGGCACAAAAGTTTTGTTTTGTTTTATTTTGGTCTGCAGAAAATCAGCTGTGCTTCCTACGCAAACAACAATCTGATTGATACGCTTTGACTACTTAATTGTGCAAAGGGACCAATTATAGAGTATTATTAGGATGTACCTTTGTCCCTGTAGAGGTTGAGACTGGTATCACAGCAAGCCATATATTATGACAAGTAGTCTTCAGGGCTTGGATTAGGTGCTTGAAAATGGTTGAAATAATAAAATATAAATAGGGAGGCACTCATACCATGTAATTAATGTAATACACCTACGCAGAAATGCATTAGCTGTGCACAAGCATCTGGGTGGCTATAAAAAAAGATGTCTGATGCCAGTGTAAGTAGAGAATATCACAGGTCAAGCATAGCAGAAGCAGGTGCCTCAAAAATTAATAACATTAGCCCTCTTCACAAGTTACTCAAATCACGGAGTCTCAATGCACTGAAGAGTCTGAAGGGCCCCACCCCCAAATGCTGGAAATAACACCTCTCGGATATTTGAAATCTGCTTTTTCCTATGTCTTATCCATGCCCTGAGATCTGGAGAAGAGGCCCTTCTGAAATTCCCACCGGTAAGTGTGCTACATTAAGCAGTGAATCAATATAGAGGCTTTTCTTTGATAGCACCTTCCTGCAATCAGAAATATGGATGATGTATGAGTTATGATGTCAGCTTAAAATGTGCCTCCTCGCCAAGGCATCTGATGGCAATTGATGAGTGGCTCCCATTTGCATTTGGGACTGTGTTGTTGTTGGGTTAGTATGGATTTAAGTACTGTTCTAATTTTTTATATTGTGTTTTATAGTGTTTTACAGTTTTATCACTTTAGTACAGTATGTGTAAACTGCCCTCATTTTATTTCTAACTAAGGGCAGTATATAATTTGATTGAAAAAAATAATTAGATAAGCAAATGTTCCCCAAATACCTTGAAAACTTTCTTCTCGAAAACAAAGGCAGCATTGAAACTTTCTGCTATGTGGAAAAGTGAGGAAACAATACAATATTTTGTCTGTGCTTAATACACAGGGAACTGAAAAATCAGGGAATTGAAAAATCTTGTGTTTTCTATGTTTTAGAGATTAATTTTAGTCTTCATGGGTGGGTATTCTAGTGTACACTAAGTGAGTCATCATCATTCCACAGAGGTCTGTGACCTTTGATATTGTGCTGAGTCATAGCCTTTTCTCTTACTCCCTGGCCCAAAAACTGATTTTGCAAAACCTAGATGTAGAAGGAAAAAAGAGTGTAAAATTATATGAATAATATGGACCATTTGCCTGTGATTTCCCTAACAAAATGTGTTTGGCAATTTTGGCTGTTGGCTATTACAGGGCATTGACAGTCACTCATCACTATTAACCTCCTCCTCCCCATGAATCCTCTGAGTGTTCATAGGATTTGGGAGGGAAGGATGTGTGAATTTTATTCTTCAAGTTCTCATTTTTATAATCTTAAATCTGGTTATCCACATTTCTGGAGCAATTTGAGATTTTTTTTAAAAAAAATCTTCATTTTAGTACAAATTTCTCCTACTAAAATATTTTTGCATGCCATTTTGACTGATGTATACAATAATGTAAGCAATTTTTCACAATATAATGCATTTTGTATGGTATTTTGACAAATTTCATTTTTATGCACATTTCCGTGTGTGTGTGTGAGAGAGAGAGACACGCATGTGTTTCATATATTGTTTCAGAAAATGCAAATTTAATAAATCGGTTTTAATGTGAACTGAATCAAATCTGTACTCTATCACTAATAGGATTACAGTAACCTAATGTAGGGTTGCCATATTTTGAAGAGCAAACA